ACACTGTGTACATATACATGGATCTCCTATTAAACAAAACTCAATCATGTATATGTACATATTTCTTGGTAAACTAGTATTACTCTAACTTGGGAAACATACATATTTCATGTATACATATATGAAGATAGTGAAATTATATGACGTTCATGTATTATTGTACTATTTAATATGTGTACATGTGAATCATTGTACATGTGTATAATAAAACATTTGTGTACAATGGTGAATCGTTATTCGGTGGTGAATAGCTTGAGTTAGGTTGAATAGGAGATCCATGGTGATTTCAGACGTTCATGGAGGAAAGAATGACAGAGGTTTACGAGTCACTTGTTTTTTTTATCAATTTGTTCTTCTATACGAAATTGACAGGTGCAAATATGAACTTTTGTACATGTGGATAGTACATTATGTGTACACATTGTTAATACTCTAAGTTCAACCAGGTTCAATCATGTATATGTACATATTTATTGGTAAACTGATACTACTCCAAGTTGCTACATGTATCATGTATATGTATATGCAAAGAGGTACACATGTTCGGTTTGTACACATGTAATCTTGTACACATGTACATATATAATCATGTTGTTTAATTAACATAAACCACGCTCCATGTCTATACCTACAAAGACAAATTTATTTCTTTAACATGTACATGTGTACACTAAAATTATGTACACATCTTCGTGGTCATCCAATGTACTCGTGTACACGGACATGTGTACACTAACATAATGTACACATCCACGTGATCATCCAATTATTTTTAATGAGTGGCATTTTCGTAATTTTAACTTCATCTTCCCCAAAATCAATTAGGGTTTTCTGCAATTTCTCTCTATGGCCGCCAGTCATTATTCTCACATGAATCATCAGTTTTCTTCATATTTGTTGTTTATTATACCTTTAAACCTGTAAAATGTCATATAAGACATTATTCTAAGTTCAAAATTACTCTGTTTCTACAACAAAAACGTAATTTTGCTTCTTTTTCTACTACTGTCACAACGTGAGGCGGATGTGTTGAAGAGCACGGTGTGGAGGAAGAAGCTTGGTCGTGTTGATTCATGGCGAAGAAACAGAGGAACCGCAATCGTGTTCTTCATTTTGTTTTCCAGATTTTTTCTTGGGATTTTCAAGATTGTTCATTTTGTTCTTCATCATCTTATTCAGATTACGATCTATGAGTTTTCTCATTTTGTAACTTTTAAAATTGTTCCTGTGATAGAGAACGAGAAAAAATGAGATTAATTATAGGATCCATTTAGTTACTCTTTAGTTGCTTGTAGTTATAAAAAACTACCTTAGGAGCAATAACTGCTCTATTTTGTAATAAAAAACTTGAAACTGCCCTATGATGAAAATAACTCTTCTATAAATACACGACAAAGAGACGACCTTTGAGACCCGAGAACTTCTCTCCAAAACAGGAAAAAAGGAAGAGTCTTTTGTCTCTCTTTTGGTCTCTCTCCCCCCCTTCTCCAGGGATCTACTCTCACTCCATATCTCTCTCTCTGTAAGAAGATTCCCACTTGAAATTCTTCAGAAAAAGATCCAAACTTTACTTCCATCACTATCAAAAGTCTTCACCTTTAAGTCAATCAATCATCCATGGCTGATCAACAAACCCTAGATTCCGACTCAACTTCTTCTTCCGCTTCAGATCCGTCGCTGTTGAGATCTCTCTCCTCAAGTAGACTCAACGCCGGAGCTCCAGAGTTCGTACCTGGACGAACTACTCCTCCTCCTCCTCCTCTTCCGCAGCCGCAGCCTCCGAGGATGATTATCCCTCCTCCTCCGCCTCACGGTATGCTTCACATGTACCACCACCACCATCACCAGCGTCCTTTCAACGTTCCTGTTCTTGGTCCTGTCCCAATCCAGCCTCACCATATTCCTCATCGCTTCCGTCATCAGAACCATCAGTATGTCCCCGTGAGGAGCCATCAGCAGCAGCGTGGAGATCAGGAGGCTGATTCGGTGGTGGTAGTGAAGAAGAGAGATCATCATAAGAGAGAGTCTAAGAACGAGACTGAAGCTGGAGCTTCTGTTGCGGCTGTTATTGATCCGAAAACTGGTTTGTCTGAAGATACTGTTCAGAAGATTGTGAATCAGGTTAGGTTTCAGACATGGTGATCTTGTTTGTTGTTCTGTGTTAATGTTTTGGTGTTGGAAGTTATTGACTAGTGTTGAATCAAATTGTTGTCAGGTTGAATATTACTTCAGTGATTTGAATTTGGCTACTACAGATCATCTGATGAGATTCATTAGTAAAGATCCTGAAGGATATGGTAAGTTTCTGTTGGATTGGAGATTGTTACTTTAATGTGTAATCTTTTTTTTGGTTCCGATCGATGATGGGGATTTATGTGTGTTTACAGTGCCAATACATGTGGTTGCATCTTTCAAGAAAGTTAAAGCTGTAGTTAGTGGTAATTCTCAGCTTGCCACAGTGTTGCAGAACTCATCAAAGCTTGTGAGTTCTTTGTCTTGTTTTTTTTGTTGTTGCATATGTTTCCATCCTTTAGATGTTTTTTTAACGGTTGAGTCATTGAACAGGCTGTTAGTGAAGATGGAAAGAAAGTGAGACGCATAAATCCTGTTACCGAGGCTGCACTAGAAGAACTTCAGGTATTATTTATTTATTTGATACTTCTGTGTACTGATTTATTTTATGAAGAAAGGAATGTGTTGATTTACTAATAAATTTATAATATCCAGTCTCGTATAGTTATTGCTGAGAATCTACCTGAGGACCATTGCTACCAAAATCTGATGAAGATCTTCTCAACTGTTGGAAGGTACAAGACTAGCGTCTGTTGATGTTACTTTTAATATTCTAGATAAACCACCACTTATGGGTTTCTTAAAGTATTAAGTTGTTTTGTCAGTGTGAAGAACATCCGTACCTGCCAGCCACAGATTACTGGGAATGCTGTTCCACCAGCAGCAAGATCAGCCAAAAGCGATGGTACTCTTTTCAGTAACAAGGTATACTAAATATAGATCCATGGTTGTTCTTTTTGGTTTTCCCCTTGAATGGATAAACATGATGCAATGTTTCTTTTACTTTTGTGGTCTAACAGGTCCATGCTTTTGTGGAGTATGAAACGGTTGAGCTAGCCGAGAAAGCAGTAAAGTCTCTTATTACTTGGCTTTTCAGACTATGAGTGTGTATACTCTCATGTGCTGATGTGATTAACCTTACGCATGTTACTTGTACAGGTTGCGGAACTAAATGAAGCAGGAAACTGGAGGAACAGTCTTAAGGTCCGGTTAATGTTAAAACCTCAGGTATGTGGTTTAAAAATTGATAGAGTCCAGATATATCTTAGTAGTTCAGAACATTCTTGTCATTGGTCTCAGTTTGGATCTGTAGAAGTTATTTTAGTTGCACACTGGTTTATGTTTTGCTATTCTAATTATACAGACAAAGGAACCAAAACAGGGTCAAGGGCGAGGAAGAAAAGGACATGATGTAGAAGTAGAACATGAGGAAGATGATGCCACGGCATCCGAGCAGCAGCAGCAGCCGCTTGAGAAACAATCTGAAGAGTGTTCTGGGGAATGGGATACACATGTGCCAGAGCAGGCAGTGATCGTAGTAAGTAACATCAAATATGTTCTTGGGTTCTTGCATTGTTTCTCCATGGATGATTCTTTAACTTTAAGAGCATAACAGGGAGAGGAGCAAGGGAATGAGAAAGCTGCTGGACAGAGAAAAGGGCGTAGCAGAGGTAGGGGAAAGGGACGAGGACGAGGTCAACCTCACCAGAACCAAAACCAAAACCAAAACCAAAACCAGAACCACAATGGGCGTGGGAATCATCATAATCATAATCATCACTATCAACATCAACATCAAGTGGGAACACCACCTTCAAACAATCCAATGAACAACATGGAGCAGCAGCCAAAACAGCAACCACCGGGACCAAGGATGCCTGATGGAACCAGAGGATTCTCGATGGGACGAGGAAAGCCAATCACGGTTCAGGCAGACTGATCGAGTGCTGTGTTTGCAAAGAGGTGATTGGGGTTCCACATGGGAGAGAAAGAAAACCAGAGAGAGAGAGAGAGAAAAAGAGCTTTATATTCTTCTTACTTCAAAAAATAACATGTTTTGAATTGCTCTTAATCTTTACCTTACAAAGACAAAAAACAAACAGCCTTTTTTTCCCTTACAAGAAGACAATAGTGGTGTTATAAGTGTGATGATGAAACTCAGAAACCAATTTGAGTTTCTTCTGTAAACGCTTTTATAATGAAATAATAACAACTTTGTGATAGCTTTCTTGCCAATCCAAATCAATGGCAGAAACAACTACGCATGACATCTGAATTCGACAGTGATAGTCTCCTCTTCCTTAACAAACTGTCTTGTTAGCTTTTCAACAACCTCGCGAAGCTCAAACTATCATTTCAGAACATCTCGCAGCGTGAGGTTTCTCATCAGCCTAAGCTCTCTCTCTCACTTCCAAGAACATCTCTGTTCTCTATGATGTTGATCAGAAGAACACTTTCGTCACTTCATAATGTCAAAGTACATTTCTCTACCTTCGAAACTGAAACTCTCGCTTACTTTAGCCAAAGAAAAAAAAAAGTTGGACAATACAAACTTGTCATTGCAATGGTATTTTACTTCTGTTCAAGTAGTAAACAGAGAGATTACCAAAAAAAAAAAAAAAAGAGTAGTAAACAGAGACATGTTGACATGTGTTTAGGGCTTTAAAAAGTTACAAGGCTTTTTAAAGTTTTGTAGCCCATAACAAGAACAAAAAAGTCAATTAAAAACCACTAGTTTAGTTGGGACTTATTACAGCTGCAAAGGAATAATGTTCTCCAATTAAAAATCTAAGATTGTTTTTTTCCGTGTTCTGTTTTATCTTCTTCTTCTCTTGTTGGACGAAGCAGTGAAGGATTGATTCTCTGTCAATTTTCTCAACTATTTACAGGGAAGAGAAAGAGAAGTACAAAAGTGTGTGGATAGATAGATGAGTTCGTCTCTACCTATGAGGCTGCTTCTGCCTCTTACACCTTCCTTGCTTTCTCCTTGTTCGGATTCTCGAGCTCCGTCTCCTCTAAGATCGAAAAACCCTAACTTTAATCTCCGATCTCCTTCTTCCTTTACCACATGTTGTTCTTCTTCCCAGTGGCAGCTTTTCCCTGGGCGAAGACAGCGATTCAGATCCTTCTCTCCTTGTGTTCCTATGGTAATGTCGCTGATTACTTTCTTACTTCACTTTCTGCTTATTTCCGACAGGATTGTTTTAGAATGATTGATGTTTTGTCTCCTTCACGATTGAAAGTTTTAGTCTTTATTTTTTTTGCTGGAGACATTAATTATTCTCTTCAATGATTGTTCTGTCTCTTTCTATGTGCCTTTACTGTTCATAAGACTACATTCTTCTCATGATGGAAGAGTTATGTTATTTGGAGGAAGTGATTTCTTAACTCAATTTTGTATTCAGGTTTCCTTTTAGCCTTTGCAAGCATCTTGCTCTGCTTCTTGGGGAAGAAAAAAAAAATCAGTTGTTTTAATTTGTGATATAAGTTTTTTTATCTTTGTTGGAACTGATATGTTTTATAAGTATATAAGCTTTTAGATTTGGTCTTGAAGAGTTTTTCTGCTTCTTTTTTGAATAGTGCACGAAAGACCAAGACAAGACAGATAGCTGGAGAAATGAAGATGATCATATTACTACTACTTGTGGGCTTGAATCTGATGAAGACTCCGGCGGCGGCCTCCGGATTCCTACTCAGGCTCAGGCTATCGTTGAAGGGTCTGGTTCTGTTGCTGTCTCAGAACTCAAACCTTCCCCTGATGTAGACTACATTCAAGTACGCCTACTTACTCTTATAATCGAATCTTATAGCTTTATACTATTGTTATTATGTATTTGTAAGAGTAGTAGAATTTGGAATATAAGTCTTTTTATAGCTAGCTGTGACCGTGTATATTTCATCAACAGGAGCTATTGGCTATACAGCAACAAGGGCCTAGAACAATTGGCTTCTTTGGGACTAGGAACATGGGTTTCATGCATCAAGAACTCATCGAGATTCTTAGCTACGCCATGGTTATTACTGTAAGAGTTTATTTCAGCTTCATCTTTTGTGTGTGTTTGACTCCAAAATCTTTTCTTTTAGAGTTTTCGTGAACATATTCTCTCTTTAAAGTTTTCATAAACCTTCTCTGCAATCATTTGTGGTGGTTCGTGCAGAAAAACCATATATATACTTCAGGTGCATCTGGAACTAATGCAGCTGTTATCAGAGGTGCATTGAGAGCAGAGAGGCCAGAGCTTCTTACAGTAATCTTGCCTCAAAGTTTGAAAAAACAACCTCCCGAGAGCCAAGAACTCTTGTCCAAAGTAAGCAAAACCTGGTTATTCTAAGATGTTGTGCTAAAAGTCAGTTAGGACAGAAACTTGTTGCATTCTTTTCTTCACCAAACTCTTCTCTTTTCACAGGTACAAAACGTGGTAGAAAAGCCACACAATGACCATTTGCCATTACTGGAAGCTAGCAGGTTTGTGACTGAATATATCATAATCACACATTTGTTGTTCAAGAAGGATTATACATGAGAGTTTATTCTTTGTTTTTTGTGCAGGCTGTGTAATATGGACATCATATCACAGGTACAGCAAGTGATCTGCTTCGCGTTTCATGACAGTAAGCTACTCATGGAGACATGTCAGGAAGCTAAAAATCTCCGCAAGATTGTCACTCTTTTCTACCTCGATTGATTCCACTATCTTGTCTTCTCCCGGGAACACCAGATGGTTTATGTCTCTTTGTAAATTGTGAATCTCTCCCATCCACAACATGTTACTATTCTTTTGTCTAAATTTTTGAAAACCCCATCCTTTATGATTTATAGGATTAATTCTCAGCTATTTTGTAACGTTACATGGGTTATAAAATCTTTATTCTCATCTCATTCTCTGCAACCGGACAAGCTTTACCAAGATCAATAGAAAGTATCTCTTCCTAAAGCCAAATACATAAAGACTTGAAACACGTCTCTCTTACCTAGACTAGTATTCATAACCGAAACTCTCACATTGAGACAGAAGCTTCGCTTTCTAACACCCAGCTCAGCATCCACATCATCATCTGCAACTGTTTCCTCTTTCTATGCATAAACTCTCATGAACATATTCATCATATGGGAAGCAGAAACAACTCCGTGGGACTTAGGAGGACCATCTCTTAATCATTTGTGAAGTTTATAACATGTTTTTGTAATTTTCACTGGTAAACTAAACGTGTAAGGACCGTTGAATAAGATATGAAACACCCCAAAGAATATATGTTTACACACTGACACATTCATATGTTACTGTAGTATTCAACATTTCCGTCTTATTTAAATATTTTTTAGTAAAAGGCAAAATTCTAGATCGCTTGTGCTCGTCACATTTATCACGCTTGAATACTATTTTTATGAGGTACAAGAGTAAGGTTGAAAAAGTCTTGTTGAGTTTATCCATACGTCATGGGTGATTCGGTGCATTGGTTGTTAGATTAGAAACCTCTTCTCAAATCTCAAGATATATTTTAATACTTTTTAAGTACTTTGAAAATTATAAGCAAGCATGGTTATATATATTGTACAAGTAAGGTTACAACCCTCAGAAACAAAGAAGAACACAAGTAAGAACAAGAGCGTTCTTTAGATCAACCAAATGGATCATATCAAAGAGCCTCCTGGTAAACAATATATTTTAAAACCACTAAATTATTTCGCAGATCTGTTACCTAATCTTTGTTATGATGATGTTGATTATATTTGTGTTTTTTTATTTAAGGTGGATGGGAAAATATGTGGGTAGAGGGACGAACACTGTGGGATTTAGGAGAAGCAACACCTATTGTTGTTCATCTCTGTGAAACGGGTTCTTTGCCTAGTGGAAGAGCTTTGGTTCCTGGATGTGGAACCGTAAGTCGTTTTGATATATATATGTAGCTTCTCCTTTTGTCATATGACTTAAGATTATGTCTTGTAAGATCTTTCCACTGTCTAAAACGTGTTTTTGGACAGGGCTATGATGTGGTTGTGATGGCAAACCCTGAACGTCATGTTGTTGGACTTGATCTTTCAAAAACCTCAGTTGAAAGATCCACAAAGGTGAGGATATATATATGCATATAAACTGGATTTTTATTTCTCGTTTGAATGTTTGAAAGTATATGTTTAAATCTCAAAATAATGCAGATGTTCTCTTCATTGCCTAATTCAAAACATTTCACATTCTTAAAAGAAGATTTCTTCACTTGGGAGCCAACCGAAAAATTCGATCTTATTTTCGACTACAAGTATACTTCTTAATCCCTTTCTGTTAGCTTAAAATGTTTTTGGTCTCTATGTTCACATGAAGAAGAACAAACTCCACCTGATATGTCTACAATTATGATAATTCTCGCAGTTTCTTCTGTGCTTTTGAACCTAAAGTTCGACCTTTATGGGCAAAGCGTATGCAAGAGCTTCTGAACCCTGGTGGAGAGCTTATAACATTGATGTTTCCTGTAAGATAAAATCATAAAACATTTTCGATACAATATGTATATTGTGTTTTTTTTTTTTTGAGATGTTTGTTTACCTAACTATGTTATGCAGATAAGTGATAGAACACCTGGTCCACCTCCTTACTTAGTATCAGTCTCAGCGTAATTAATCTTCATCCTCTTCTCCTAATTAAACCTTTCATAACTCTGAAATTTCCTTACTCTATATGGTTACAGAATTAAGCTACTTTAATGTTTTGTTTGTTTGTAGCTATGAGGAACTTTTGAAACCCTTAGGGTTTGAGGTAATCTCTATAGTTGATAACGAACTTGCTCCAGATACACGCAAGGTGAATACAATTCTACTTCATCACTTTAATTAATTTCGTTGTGAAACAAGAGAGACGAGAAAACGGTTTTAAAATTGATAATAATTTTCAGGGAATGGAAAAACTTGGCAGATGGAAAAAGAAGAAGAATTCAGTGTGATCACTCCTCATTGCCGTCGCATTCTGATGGCTCTATCTATAAGTCAATAAGAGATTTACACTTCTTTAGTTTCCTAGTCAAAACCGAATGTACTATTTACACGTTTAAAAATAAAGAGTCTTTGACCGTCTTATGAATTTTGTAATGACTAAACGTGTTGTTTTTACCTTTTAGCGAGAACCAGTGTCGAATTTCTCATGCATGATTTTCTACGTTGTCAAATCTGATCAAATTTTCATTTGATACAATCGTTAAGTTCGAATAATTTATTGTCTCTAACAGTAATTTTTTCTTCTTATTCTTCTTCTTAATTCACGTGCAGATTGTTGTTATGTATTTTTTTTCTTGGTTGAGGTTTCGTCGGGGTGATGTGGTTTCTAGGTCTGGACATGAAGTGGATATCCAAAAAAAATTGTAATATACATGATCTGTTCTATCCCTAACGAATATCTAAATTTGTGATTTGTTTTGATCCGTAAAATTCTAGATATCTGAAAGTCTAGATATATATCCGTAGTTCTTTTAAATATTCATATTCTATTAGATCAGTTAATTATATTAAAATAAAAAATAACATAAAAATAATTTGTAACATTAAAATTTAATTAAAAACCTTCATAATAAAGTAAAAATTATAATATCATATTAACGAACGAACATCTCTAAATGAATTGTAATGCAAAAGCAAACATTTTAGTATTAACAAACTTAAAAATAAGAAAACTCATATGTTAATATTTAACTCAACATTAAAAAAATTAGATATGCAACCCAAAAAGATAATTTGAAAAAATAACTTAAAGTAAAAAATTAACAAAATTATATCATAAATGTGTATAATTATATTGGTTTGTATATACAATTATACTACATATGTATATTATATGGATCGGATCGGATCCGGCTTTCTAAAAATGACATTTGTGATTTTCTTCGTTGTCTACGGATATCCCATTTTACTATTTGATTTTATTCAAATTTTACGGATATCCAGATTTTTCGAATCTAATTGAAACGAAAAATAAATCAAATCGAATTTAACAATAATATGTCCGGCCCTAGTGGCTTCTAGTTCCAGTTTGATGCTATGTTATCTTGAGTTCGTGATGCAACTATGTTTCTTCTGTTTTCGAAGGTTGTTATATTTACTTTCCAAATGATTGTTTTGCTAAATTGTAATGGTTCATCTCCATAAAGCTGAATTATTACCACTGATTATATTTCTTCTTGGGCTTCTCCTTTTTTACCATGATTGGTTGTAAATCGAAATAAATAATGAAAAATAATAATTAAAAACAAAATATTATTAAAATTATACATTTATTAAAAGGTAAAAAATTATATCATATAAAAAGAACTACGTATTTTCGTTCAGAGACTTTTTTGTCTGAAGATTATTATTCGTTTATTTCCCACAAATAATTAACTAAATAATTCAAATGAGATTGAAAATTATCTTAATCTGTTTATCATGTTATATATTTCCATTTCTGAAAGTGGGAATTTGTTACTAATTTTAGTTAGCACATAAAATCCTGTTTGTTCTTTGTGTGTGTTTAATATGCTTTCATATTAAATTATATAATTTCGTACCATATAATTTTTGTTTAGGTATTAAATTAAAAACATACCAAATTGAGAGATATTAATAGAGAGAGTAATTCCAAAACTGGAGATGGTTTCCATATATAGAATTTCAAGTAGGGTCAATTTGAGATGCCATACTTCTTCTAGAGTAAATGGAATGGCATATACAGTAATTTCTTCTGATTTTAAGGCTAATATACAACTTTCCTAGCTATTAGTAGAAGGTGGAGAGTCGTCATTTAAGGCAGAAAAATATAGTATGCCAAAGTAGGCACACTGGTCTTTCTTTTTGAATTTGTTAGTGCGTTCTTTTATATAAACGGCAACGTCTAAGCGAATATTTAAGGCAGAAAAATATAGTATGCCAAAGTAGGCATAGTCATTCTTTTATATAAACGGCAACGTCTAAGCGAATATTTCGGGCCAGCTCAATGGTATATTCCGAATGAGAACACACAAAAATAGGCAGAAAGCATAGAGGGTGAGAGCATAATGATAACTAAAATGGCTCTATACAAAATTAATTTTATTCAATGATTATATAACTTGTTTTTTATGTTAAATTTATTTAATCATTTTGTTAACCTCTATATAAACACATATGATGTGCCTAAGCTTTCCACAACTAACAAAAATGGCTAACGAACAAAAGACTTCAAGTTACAGCAGTGGTGGAAACATTATTCCTACTCCTGAAGAGGCTGCTACATTCCAGCCCCAAGTTGTTGCAGAGGGTGATCCATTCTTCCTTCAATATTATTTCTAAAATTCATTAACAAACGAAGTTCGTAAGTTATTTGACAAATGAGTCACACTAACAAATATCATATGCTTATTATTTGAACTTGTGAATACATATAAATCCATCAACTGTAAAACGTTACATTTAACTAAAAAATAAATCTAGTGAGTTTTATCCACCACCTCTTTAAAACGTTGCATTTAACTAAACAATATCAATTTATTGACTGTTTGTTAAATTAGCTGTATTTGTTTTAAACATAAATAATTTATCCAATATTATAATTTATCTGAAAAGTTTCTTATAAGCTCAGTATATATTTTTACAGTTTAGTTTTTATGTCATTAAATCGAATACAGCTAATGTAAATATAACAAACAATCTATAAATTGATACTCATAATTGTTAATTTGATATCTTAGTAATTTTGTTATATATGATTGATTATTCTCAACAAATATATCTTGATTGCTTAAGAAAATTTCTTGTATATATATATTTCGAATTGTTGTAGATTGATGTATATATATATACTAATTTTATAAATTAATAAAATATTATATTTTGCCATAATTAATCTGTAAAAAGTTAAATGTAATATATGTAATCAATAGGTGGATGGGAAAAATGTTGGGAAGACGGGGTAACACCGTGGGATCAAGGACGAGCCACACCTCTCATTCTCCATCTTCTCGACTCCTCCTCTCTCCCTCTTGGCCGTACTCTTGTCCCCGGCTGCGGCGGAGTTAGTATTCTTTTGATCTTGTTATATTTTAGGGTTTATAAATAGTTATCTAGTTTTGAAGATATCAATACGATATTTTATAAATTTGAAATTGAATTTAGTTTGATATTGGTATGACATAGTATGGGATTCCAATTTCTTTTTATTAGGATTCAGGAGACAATATACCTTATTTTAACATTGTTAAAAAAATGATATAGTTTTCCGTAAATCATTTTGTTTGATCTTTGGTTTCAGCTTTTTTTTTACATGTAACCAAAATTATTTCAACTTAGCGAAGATGAAGTTTTGTTTTTATGAATTTATCGACTTGATTAAGGTTGAATCTACATACTCTCTATTTACGTTATGTTTAGTCACTCTAATGAACAATTATATGTTTGTTCAATTCATCCAAATTGTGTATACATTTTTTGTTAAATATGATGAATTGCGTAGGGGCACGATGTCGTTGCGATGGCAAACCCCGAACGTTTCGTTGTTGGACTAGATATATCTGAAAAGGCTCTCAAGAAAGCTAATGAGGTTATATATGTTGCTCAGTTATGTTTTGATAATTAATCACCTGACTATCTTACATTAGTCTCTTAAAACTTAATCAAGAATCACTTTATGTTGACTACATATAGACTTACGGCTCCGCACCGAATGCAAAGTACTTTGCCTTCGTGAAGGAGGATGTTTTCACTTGGCGTCCTGATGAACTATTCGACCTCATCTTCGATTATGTGTTAGTTAATTAGCCAAAAACATAACAAAAATGTTAGAAGTAAGTAACTAAAATCAATCTAACTAATATAATATAACAGATTCTTCTGTGCCATTGAGCCGGAGCTGAGATCTGCATGGGCTAAATCTATGTATGAACTCTTGAAACCTGACGGGGAACTCATAACTCTCATGTATCCGGTAATTATTTTTCATTTACTTTTACGTGTGATTTAGCCATTATTTAAAAGATATAATCATACAACATATGAGTTATTTATTTATTTTTGCCTCTTTAATATATTAGATTACCGATCATGTTGGTGGAGCTCCATACAAAGTATCTGTCTCTGCGTACGTGTCTCCGTGACCCTTTAATTAGTCTTACATACATAATTATATTTATGATTATTCGCTAATTAGCTAAAGTGATAATTGTGGTGTGTGTTTTGAGGTTTAGCTACGAAGATGTGTTGGTTCCCTTAGGATTTAAGGCAGTATCCATCGAGGAGAACCCAGACTCCATCCCCACTCGTAAGGTATCAAAAAATACATTCAGATTGTGTGAGATTACATATATATCAAAGCTAATGTTATATTATAGTCGTGTATATACACACATGCATATGGTTTATAACGAAAATTGTTTTTTTTTTCCGTGGTGTTGTATATAATTTTAAAATTAATTAGTTGCAGTTAAATCACATAACTGATTATTCTTCCGATCTGTATGATGTATTAAACAGGGCAAAGAGAAGCTTGCGAGGTGGAAGAAGATCAACTGATCCAAAAGAGATCAGATCTTACTCTTTAGTAAGAATGTTATATATGAATGTAATCTACCTTTCTGTTAAAAATAAAGTGAGTATCCTATTACTCAATGTAAAATATGTATGTGTGAATGTGATGATTATGGTGGCGGCCAACGTCTATGTAACGATGGTCGCCGATCTCTCACCCCTTGTTGGTGTATCCTATGTTGGTCACTGCCATCTGGTGCTTTTTTTATGATGTGTGTTTCAATTTAATAAAGTTTCTCCTTTCAGATCAGAGGTTTATAATCTCTTGATTTGTGTGGAGTTCTGTAGAAACGTACTTTTGGTATAATGGTTTAAGGATTCATTAATATTTCTAGATCATAAGGTTTGTCAAGTGTGAAATCCAGAAGACGACTCAGATGGTACAGTTAATATTTTTGTAATTTTTAATAACATAGTTATTCAACATTAAAAAAAAAAATCAATTAGGATGGACTAATCTCTTTTAGG